AACACGTTAAGGTAGATGTTGATTTGACCCTGTTTTCGAAACTTGGTTGGAGAGGCAGGAAGAGCTCGTAGAGCATAGCTAGCTGCTATAATATCCATGATAATTACGTCTCCCACGAGTGCCAAGGATTTTGGACCCAAACAGCTATTCCATTTATGCCTCCGACTACATTTGAAAATCATTGACCTCGATTCACGCCATTGATTCGAGGGTTTCAAAATCAGTGATTCTCACGCTTCAGAAACCCAATGTCCCAGTTATCCTCCATCCTACTACCACTACATTGTTTCCCAGTCTATAGGGCTGTGCCTGGTTTCATTTTGAACCGTTTAAATTCACCACGATATTGTCTATCACATGAGTCCTACCTAATCCTAAGTTTATATTGAGTTCTGTATGTAGTGGTTAATAACTACTCTTATAAAGCATGTAATGAGCCGCCTCTCACGCAGGCCTAAACTAAACACTAGGAACCATATGATATTATGCCAATACACAGTTCCATATCCAATCCTTCCGAATAGTACTAATGTTCCATTAGCAGCTGCCGCAACTCTCGGGTAAATTTACAGGATTGAGAAAGAAAGATAAAAAACAATCGTTACCCCCCCCCTTAAAAGTGAGCCATACATTAACAAAGCTTTGTACAAATTTGCTCATACAACATTAAAGTCAACAAAGTGAAGTGCTATGGAGTTTACTGCATAAGCAGCAAGGACTGTAAACAAAAACATACTGGGAACGAGAAGGACAATCAGCACAGGTATCAAAGTACACTATCAACCTCGCAGGACTAGGGATAAGGAAATAAATAGACCAACACGATGCTTAGACCGGCCACACCACCAAAAGAAGATTGTCAAGATGGATCCACCCGGGGATATGGGAGAAGAGTATGCTTTTAGGGTGCCAAAATTATAGATCTACTTCATACCATCATAGATGTAGGAAACAACATTGGGGCACAGTAACAATTTGCTTACAGCACATGAACTGTGCCGTATGACATGCCAGATTAGGGTAATTACTAACCAATACACACACGGAACTGAGTAGAAACTCGGGATTCGGTTAGACTTACAAGGTGATAGACATAGGTATAATTTACTTTAATTAGAAGTACAGAATTTAAACTATCCATGCCCGCGGTGATGGTTTTAAACAAAGTGAAAAAGATTCCTAGAGAATGAGATGCAAGATGGAGAATAGGATAACCGGTACGAGGTTTCTGAAGCCTAAGGCATGAGAATCAATTACGTAAATGGAGGCCGGAATGGAGGGATTATAGAAAGTAAATCGAAGGCATGAAGACCAAGATTGTGGCCTTTTGTTTGGTCGCAGTTTCCTTTCGTTGTATAGAAGTTGTTTGACCTTGTTTTCGCAACTTAGTCATAATGGTAGGAAGACTTAGAGGAACGCACCTAGTCCGGGGTCCATTGTATGCATCATCATTCCCAGAGTAGAGCCGTGGACGTAGTACATTCCCAGACGTTTCGCCGAAATCGTCAGTGAGTCTCGCCAGTCGTAGCACCATATTACATCTCGTCTTGTCTCTTTGACGAGTTGTAATATGGTGCTACGAATGGCGAGAATCATTGACGATGCCGGCGAAACGTTTGGGAATGTAACACGTCAACGGTACTACTCTATTAATGATGCATACAATGGACTCCGGACTAGGTGCATTCCTCCTACCAATATGACCAAGTTGCGAAAACAAAGTCAAACAACTTCTGTAGAAAATAAAATTTAAGTAATTTTCACGCGCAGCAGGCAACCGCTGACAGTTATATAAGCTAAATGAAAATGATGAATGGGTCCCAAAAGCCCGGCGAAGGGAATGCTAGAGCGCATGTGATTACGTTTCACTAAATCAACTCGCCTAGAATTTAGGCCTAAGCAAATGGCCCATATCAAGCAAGGTCGAGAGAAGCTGCTAAGGTCGAAGTGAAGGTTAGCCGAAGGGATTTGCTTGCACATCTGTGCAAATGATGGCAAAACGCTTCGGAAATTACCTGGTCAAATGTCCTATATTTAAAATTACCATTAATGCTACAATAGAGGACAAAAGACTAGATATGTTTCACAAGGTACCCCCCTTGGCTCCGGCCAAGTTGCGGAAACGATTCAAGTGAGGAAAACTGCAACCAAACCTAAGGCCACTTCACGTAGGTCTTCATAGGTACGAACGAAATTTGACCACCTGAATGGCAAAAACTGCAAAAACATAAAAGTGCGTTGTGAAATTTATGAAAAGATATACAAGAGTTTAAAATATGCAAAGGATTATGAATAACACGTAAAAATCCATTTTATCGTGTATCGTAGCATTTCCAAAATGCAAACAAATAAATAAAAATATCAACGAGATAGGCAAAATGAATATTCTAAATGATGGACATGAATAAATAAACCCGCGACGACATTGATATTGATGAGATAATAAAAGCATAAGGTGATAAGGACAAAATATTTACATGTCTTGAGACGGGCCCATCTGGAATTTTGATAGGGACCAATTTCTTGTCTTCAACTGTTCTTTGAACTGGTGGGCAGGGGAGAACAGGCTTCCAAAGGGTTTCTTCAATTTTCTCCACTAATTCGGACAGATGAGGAAATATTGAGCTGAGGTTTAGTAAGTTGCTATCTGAAAGTGAATCGAGCCTGACTTGTTCTGGCCCTGAGAGTTCTAAATGTCCGAATTTATCAGTTGTTGTGTCTGTCAAGTTAATAAAAATTTGAGAATCGGTCTCGGCCACGGACATCTGAAGCTAAAAAAAAAATGCTCAAATCAGGCCGCTAAAAAATCAACAAAAGTGCCTAATGCGAAACGAATCTGTAAGAATATTAGGACAGTCTCCCAAACCAGGGTTCGTGCCATGTCTAGGTATAAGGAGAAGCAATGCCATGCTTGTTTTTAAAATAGTAATACCTGGCTGGACGATGAAGCCAATGTTCCGTATTTAGGACGAGATGTTAAAGAATATGACACGCGAATAGGATCAGATGAGGCCCATGACGGAGGAAGGAGAGCAGAGGTACTGGCTGAATCGGAGTATGGCCGGGCCCCTCGAGCTAGGAGACCAGCATGTATTAAAAGGCTAATAAAGGCAGAGCGCCTTTGCGCTTCCTTTCCATGAAAGCCAATAACATATTCAAGTATGCTTGCTTCTACTGGACCTAACTTAGCGGAAGCAGAGACGAAAGACAATATCTCCGAAGCATCGACCCTGAGGGAGTTGGGCGACAAGAGCTGAGTCATCTGGCTGGATGACCTCAAGCCAACCAGTATAAACACTAAGAAAACAATAAATATAAACTTTTTTTAAAAAAATGTAAAACTAATATTTATTCATAGAATTAAAAAAATCATCTGCTAACTGTTTTGGTTACAGCTCTATTTCAAATGTTATGTCCTTGATATTGGGGGTCGGGCCGGGAATTTTTATTTTAGCTTTTTCATGGATTGTTGCGATTATATTTTTTATTGTTTTTTCAAGGCTCAATGGATTTTTGACGTAGATATTTTTATTATACTTTTATAACTAAGCCCTAATTTTTATCAATATTAAAGGTATTCTTTTTTTCTAGGCTGCCCGGTATTCTTACATTAATGCTTGCTGTAATCGTTACAATTATCCTTGTGTCTTTGGTGCGATTTCCTGCATCAAACATATCCGAACCTGTTACTGTAAGAAATTTTTATTCATCAAATTTATTTGGTGATTGTAGATATCCGATTTATATTTTATTGTTAGGATATTCTTCGTGGCTTTCCTTGGAGCAAGTTCATTTAGTGGAGCAATTATAGCCTTGAAAATTTTCGCGTCTATGTAGAAGTCCAGTGTTCGTCTCGCCATTATTTTATCACTTTTGTTATTATTCTTCCGGATTTAATTTGAAAGTGACGGTCTACCCCTTATTTATGACTTTGATGTGCAATATACAAAGTACTGCATTTATTTTTAGCTGCTC